TTTGGCTTGTCCTACTTCTTGTTTTTCTTTTTCCCCCCCGCACTATGAACTTCTAAATAATTATAAATACGATCTTTCACTAAAATTGCAGTAGTGATACTTTATCAGGGTATCGATCCGCCGGTTTCTCGAATTCGCGTCCGACCGTCTCTACCCCTGCGGCCAGGGCCATCACGGGTTTCCCCCTTTTGCTTGCCGTGCCTAATATACCATTTTCTCCCAATGTGTCGATCCGCCGCCCGGACCGCATTGCGAAGTCATCCTTGTATGCAGTCCGGATATTTCTGTCGCTGCCGTCGTTCCTCGTACCTCCTGGCCTTCGGCGAAGCGTTTCCCTGCCCCTGTATTTAGACTGATCGCGTTCCGATTGCGCCCCCTCCGCTCGAATCCGCTCAAAACCAGAACTCGCCAACCGGTTGCACGTCCATTCAGTTTCCTGCCCTCCCCCCGTTTGTTTCACACCGCCCGCCCTGGCGTGATCACAGGATCGGGGGAAACAATCTTGCGGACCACCCGACCCTCCTTCGATCCACGCAGGGATTCGGTGCGCCCGGAGTTTGACCCGGCTCCCCTGTCGAATTATCTTCCCAATCCGCTACACAACCTGAATTCGACTAAGGCGCCCAGCCGATTGTCCGTAAATGAGTGTCCCGTCCTCCGAAAACTCGCCGACCAACACCGTAGCGCCCAGAGGCTAGTCCTTTCATCAGTGCAGTGATGCGGAGTTTTAAACCGACCCCGGTAGTCTGGTGCCGATGATTGTTCACTGATGGTAACCTCAAGCACAACGGGACTGGCTGCCGTTTCTTCGGGGCGGTCAGATTCCGTTTTTTCGCGCTGTTCCTTTCCTCCTGGGACTCCTGCTGATTCCTGTCTTCTCCGCTCCTCCCGATGTGCTGATGAGTGCGGAAAAAAAAACAACATGCCCCTCGCTGCAGCACCAGCCGCCCGCGAAGCTGCTCAAGCCTTCCAGACTCCTGTACAATTTTGTGGCTGCGCCAAGAAAGACTGTGAAGTTTCACCGATTCTGAATGATTTCAATTATACCAATCCTTCCGCGAGGAACGTTTCGTTGTTTCGCCTTCCCGGTGTGATGTTCACAGGAGGTCAAGAAAAAACCGTCCCGCCAAACTGCTGGACGGTCTCCTGGTATGCTGATAGCGACCTGATTGGACTGAAGTCCATTCCGCCGCCCGGGGGCATGCCTGCGGCATGGCTGATGGGCCTGCTGGGGATTTCGGAAATCATGGACTCGGTGGTCGTACCATAGCTGCCAACGCTTGCGCGTTCTGCAGAGCAGAGCGAGTGTTGACCTTAGAAGTGTGCGACGATACACCTTTTCAGCAATGTGGGCCGTATTCTCTCCGACCTCGGCGTCACACCGTAATCGTCGAACTGTTGCTTGACCTGGTGATTGGACCACAGCGCGCTTCGAACCCGCGTTCTTCGATCTATGAGCTGAGCTGCTCTGCAGCGCGCCCGCCGCGAGATGATGTACCACGCCGACTTCGCAGTCCAGAGCGCATTCGCACGAAACGTTCCCCGGCGGCGCGCTGTGCGCGGACCAGGCAACGCGCAGCTCCGGCACAGATGCCTCTTCACAACGCTAGCGGAGCGTCGGTGGCCGACAACGGGAGTCTCTCGAACGCGGGCCTGCGCTCCTTGAGCTCGAGTATCTCCGTGGCCGCGCCGACCGTGATCACGGGCGACACCGCGGACAGCTTGGCCATCCGCTCTGCAGCTTCTCGCGGTCGAACTCTGAGTGGGATCTTCGATCTGGGCCTTGATTTGGGATGCACGGGCCTGATGGCATCCTCGGAGCCTCGGCCTCGACGACGCGGGTTTGTCCTTGGTGGCGGTAGAACCCGGCTGGCTGGCCGAAGTCCTCGAGCGGTGGCGAGTCCAGCTTGCGGCCTTGGTCGCTCGCTGATGACGGTGCAAACCACCGGTCAGGGATGGCGCGATGGCGATTATTTTGTCTTCAGCATGCCTTTAGACGGCGCGTCACCGAAGCGCGCGCCGTGACGCGCGTAGCGCGTGGAGGGTGCCGCGGTAGCCTGCTGACCACGACGGTTTCCAGTGCCCTCGCCGACCACGCCTCAAGCGACGACCAACAAACAACACAACCCGTTTTTTCGACAACCACACAACACCACAACACACCACCAACATCCAACCTCTCCATCACCCCCCTCGGTCACCCTCCGCTCACCCTACACACCATAGCTACGCTTCCCAACCGCCCATTCCACCACCCCTAAGCCCCCGCCCCCCCTCATCCCGGCCCTACCCACCCATTGCACCTGCCCCACGCTTGTGAGCCCGGTCGCGCCCCCCTCACCCCCCTCCCCCCCCCCATCAACGAAACACCACACACAACACACAGATCCCTCCACCAAACACCCTTCCACTCCCACACCGCACACAGACGTCGACCCAACAAAACGCACACCCACCCCAAACACAACCACGCAGGTACTACGTAGTACCCCCCCCCTCACCCCACCCCGTCCTCGCGACACACGTCCTGATATGGGGTCTCTCCCCAACCCCCCTGCTCCCACCCTCCGCTCACAACCCCCCGCTGTTCCCGGGCCTCTCCCCTGTGCTCGCCCCTACCGGAATCCCATCTGGAGCCCAATTCCACAACCGCCCGCTCCTATGCTCAATCGCCATCAGCCCCCAGCTCGCTCCCTCTCCCGCGTGTCATCCGGCCGGCCTACTGGGGGGCCCCCCCTTGCCCAACACGCTTTCTGGATGGCTGAAGCCTTCATCTTTTTATCAAATTGCGGCCGACCTGCAGGAGTTTTTTCAGCGCGGGCAGGAGTTCGTCAACACGGAAATCTTCCTTGTCGGGTGATGATGCGGTGGATCTCCCAGACCGACGTTCCATGCGGTCGGGTTGTGTGATGAAGTAAACGGGAGAGATGTAAGCCGCGGTCGAGACCTGCATCCTAAATCAAGACAACGGACTCGATCTCTCGTCAGAAAGACCCTGGATTCCTCGACTCGCTGAGAGCGGCCGTCCTTCCTACCTTTTCCATTGCTCGCGATTGGCTCGCCGATGGCATCCTCGTGGCCGAGAGGCTGGCCACCTGCCAATGCGCTCACGGTCTCCACCGACTGAGACATTCCCTGCAACTCGCCTACCACGGGTCCACGGCTGCAAACGAGCGTACCCAATGCCGCGCTTGATGGCCATGGGTGTTGGCGCCTCGGTTCGCGTTTCTTGTAAGCCGTCGTGTGATTCAGGTGGCCTGAGCCGTACCACCGAGGTGTGTGGTGCCGTCGTCCAGCGGCGTCGTTGGTTTTGTGCGGCTTCCTATCAGGAGCTGGGCGCCCGCATGTTTTCGAAGGAATCGGGAGCTCATTCCTTGGCAATGGTAACGCTGCCGTCGCTGCAGACCTGGGGCGGGCCGAAGACTTGTCCATGAACCAGCGTTGCGCCCTTGGACGCGAGGTATCTTCACCGAGTCGTGCGAGATGTCGATCACCGTGCGGAGGACTTACGGGCTCCTCCGCAATAGGTAAGTTTCGTCTTTGGCAGGCATCCATTCCGTCTTAATAACTATAGGTGTGAATTCACCGGCGGACGGGCGTCGCGCGTCGTTCCTGGGACGATAAGGGAGCCGCCAGCCCCCGCGCCAGACCTAGGATAGCTTGGCCAGATGTCGCTCTCGCACCGCCGGATGAGTATTGCGTCGTCGCCGTCCTTGTACTCGGTGCCGGCAAACTTGGAATAGATCACCCGGCCTCCCTTGGCAACGTCATAGCGATGGCGTGTTTCCGTCAGTCGCTGACTGCGGCCGGGCCAACAGCGCCCACTTCGCCCGTTCCTGGGCTTTTCTTTGCTGTGTCGGGCAGGAAAATACGCGAGCCTTTCGGTGGTCTGTGCCGCGCCCTCGGTCTGGGTTTCACTACCACACGTTCGCCCCATGGTTGAACATTCGCCACCGCGGCCGCCCCTTTTAGTTATGCCGGGAATGTGTGAATCTTGACCCGGCCAATTTAGCTGTGCGATTAGCACTCGGGCGGCAGAGTGCGAAACTCTATGTGTATCACGGCATTTGTGGCCTTGTCAAGATCGCTTGTCACAAGCCGCAGCGAAGCGTTCTGCTGCCCTTGAAATCTGCACTTTCTGGCCCGTATACTCTGCGCTCAGTTGCATGGCAGTCAATAGTTTTTGGGAGAGTAATCATTTCTCACCATCCGTGCAATGAGACTGACGGACCCGTTGCGGCTGTACGCTCAATCGCCCCGACGCCGTACGGTGTGAATGAGTTGATGGCGGGGAGTGAAGAGACTGTCGCCGACCAACTTGCCGCAGCATACAACGTTCTAGTGGTAATATTGACCGGCAAAAATTGACCGGTCTTCGTGTTGGGGCCGTGGGCTCCTGCTGAAGCGTTGCGACTCAGGGGCCTGCAGGGCGGCCCGGACGGTCGCGGACCTTCCTTTACCTGTTGTGGCGGGGTTAACGACGAACGGCGACGCTGCCGACCCGGCCCCCCTCCGAGTTGGCACGTCGCTTCCGACCTGATGGTAGCGGCAGCCCCCATCGTCCAGCGCGTTCTGGTTCTCGACTTCCTTCGCGGCGACTATTCCCTTCGACGGGGGCACACAACGTTTGCCCCGGTTGGTGGGGCCGGCTTGGGCGAGGGATATGCTGCTCACCGGGCGCAAAGTGTCCGCAGGCGAGGCCCTGGGAATAGGGTTGGTCAATCGGGTGGCTGCGAAGGGTGAGGACGCGCTGTTGGCCGCGAAGCAACTTGCGATGCAAATTGCGAAAGGCAGTCCACTAGGGGCACTTTACGCAAAGGAAGCGGTGGTGTCGGGGGCCGAGTTGTCCCTTCAGCAGGCCCTTGGACTGGAGGCGGACCTTAACATGATCCTGCAGAGCACCGCCGACAGGGCCGAGGGAATAGCATCGTTCCTGGAACGGAGGCGCCCGAATTTCACTGGCGAGTAGTGGGCTACTTATCCGGGACTTAAAAGGCGCGAATTTCGATACTTGGGAAATGCGTTTTGAAACTTAAGCTGGATCTCCACACACACGTTTGGGAAGCCTTTAATTTTCAGCCGCCGTCCGTGGAAATTGCCGAGAAGGTAGTGGGAAAGATCAAGGCTGCCGGCATAGACGGTATCGGCATAACCGACCATCACAACAAGGATTGGTCGTTTGAGTTTCGAGAGTTGGTTGAGAGGCACTTCCCAGGTGAGGCCGTCATCATCCCGGGTTGGGAAATCGAGGTGCGCCCTGAGCAAAACCCCTTCGCCGAATACCAGGTAGCGGAGCTGTTCCTTCCGCCAATGGACGGGATGGAGGGAGGAGTGTTCCGCACTTATTGTCATCCCGGCTATTACTCTCCTGAAATCATCATCGAGCAGGACATCCACGCCATCGAGATCGACAACTACTCCACAAGACGTAGTGGGCCCGGAAGGAATCCGCAAGCCTATTTGTCCAAGGAAGGCAATATCACGGTACCTGATCCTTATGGAATTCATCGCGGAAAGAAGGCCCACACCTGGAAATATCGGTCTCCGATACACCGAAGTTGACTTGACCGAGCTATATGCCCGCGCGGTGAGGCCCGTGGGAGCCAGCCTTAGATACGTAAATGGCTCCCCTTTCGAGCTCGATTACGAGAAGGAAGGCGCTATTGCCCATTTCCTTCGACCGTCCTGCCGTTTTGAAAAACGCTTATTAGCGTTCAGATGCGGGACGACTTTTCTGGAGAGCGTTTTGTCCTCGGTCGCCTACGACCTGACGTAAAATGGGGGGGGTCGGTGCTCCTTAACCGGCGAGGCGGGCCTTCTCTCGCTGATCTCGATCTCACAGACTTGTGGGTCGGCTTCCGTCCTCTCTGGTGGTTGCACGACAGTCAGATGGCGATGGGGAATGTCTGGCAGGCAGATGATCGGGATAGACGAAACGGTTACTTGCGCAGGTTCCCGGCTATTTGCATCAGGTCGGGGTTGGAATAGCCTTGCTGTGTCGACCTTCGATCGCAGCAGAAGATACCGTGTTTGCGATGCTGAGTCGGGCTAGGCATGATTTCCTGCGCCGGGGCACTCAGCAACGTTGCACGCAACTCTGCGTCCCTCGCCGGCCCTGACCTTCTGCTGACGGGTCGACGTTCAGCGGCCGAGAAGCTGCTGAAAATGGGCTGGTAACCGTGATTTCACCGCCCGCTAATCGTCCTGCGGGAAGAGCGCTGGAGGTGGCCTGCCAGCTGAGATGTCGACCACCCCTGGCCACCATTTCGACCTCAAATCAAGCGCGCACTTCGAGAGGGATGCGACAGTGTCCGCGGAATGACGGTTGGAATGGAAACCGCCTCGTAATCTGACTGTCGTCATCTAATTAGGCCCTAGAATTCGCTTTTCCACCTCAATTGATTCCTTTCCGCTATGTTTGGAGGAGCGTCGACTTTACAAGCGATGAATACGACTGAGTACTGACGATTGCGAAGCCATAGTACAGACCGTACCGCGATGATCTTTGACGGGCGCGAGTTCACCTACGCTCAAATTTCCCAGCGGGTCAACCGGCTGGCGAACGCCATGGCGGAACTGGGCGTGACCCCGGGCGATCGAATCGCGACGATGCAGGTGAATAGCCACCGCAGCATCGAATTGTACTTCGCCGCAGCGCAGTTGGACGCTGTTTATGTGCCCATCAACTTCCGTGCCAAGACGGACGAGTTGCATCAGATGCTGCGCATAGCGGAACCGACTTGCCTGTTATGGCGAGCGGTATCTGGAGTTTGCTGGGGGAAGAGGAACCTGTTCGGATGCCCCAGGACCGGTTGATCATACGGACCGGTAGCCCACACCCGGTCTCACAGTTCGAACATCTCCTTAGGAGCGCATCCCCCGAGCAACTGTTTTTTCCGGAAGCGGAGGACAACGACACCACAGTCATTATGTTCACTTCGGGGACCACCAGCGCCCCCAAAGGGGTAATGCTGACTCACGACAGCTTTGCCTCTTATATCCTGGCCACCGTAATGCCTGCGGATCCCGACATTGAGGAGACCAACCTGGTCACTGTCCCGTACTACCACATCGCTGGCCTGCAGGCCGCACTGACGGCAGTCTACGCGGGCCGAACTCAGGTGATCATGCGGCAGTTCGAACCGGTTCATTGGATGGAACTTGTGCAGGAATACAAGGCCAACCGGGCCATGCTGGTACCAACAATGCTGAAGCATCTAATAGACCATCCCCGCTTTGGCGAATACGATCTTTCGTCTCTGGACGTGATCACCTATGGGGCCGCCCCGATGCCCATAGAGGTAATCCGGGAGGCGATCAAGAGGTTTCCGGGAGCGAGTTTCATTAACGCCTTCGGCCAGACGGAGACGGCCTCCACTATTACGATGCTACCTCCGGAAGACCACGTTCTGGAAGGGTCGCCCAAGGAGGTTGAAACCAAGTTGCGCCGTCTCACTTCCATAGGCAAGCCGCTGGAGGATGTTGAGGTCGAGATTGTGGACGAGGCCGGGGGACCGACTCCGGTCGGCGAGACAGGCGAAATCGTGGCCCGCGGGCCCAGGATGATGGCCGGATATTGGCAGGAGGAAGTGGCCACACAGGAAACGATGCGGTCCGGGTGGGTCTATCCGGCGACTTGGGTTATCAGGACGAGGACGGGTATATCTACTTGGCTGGCCGGTCCAAGGACTTTATAAAGCGGGGCGGTGAAATGGTATCTCCAGAAGAAGTGGAGGCCGTCCTGCTATCCCACCCCCAGGTCGACGACGCGGCTGTCATAGGCGTGACCGACGTTGAATGGGGTGAGGAGATTCGGGCCTTGGTCGTCCGGACGCTCCGCGGAGCTCCTTCAGGCAGCGGCGAAGGAGAGTCGGCCACCCAGGAGGATATCATTGAGTTTTGCCGTGAACGCCTGGCCGGGTTCAAGCGCCCCCGATCTGTGGTGTTCGTCGACGAGTTGCCCCGTAACGTGATGGGCAAGGTGTTGAAGCGTGACCTGCGAGATGTATACGGATATCCAGTCGAGTCCTCTTGATTGTATTCGCTAGCAGCGTGTCCGAGGATTAGATTTTGGAGACGAAAAGCGCCACTGACTAATCTCATTGGTGACTAATGGGCTCTAATAAAACGGTTACCGGAATAATTAACTTTGTAGATGCCGAGATTCGTTTAGAACATTGTTTCTCAGACAGACTGCTAGGGGAATCGTCCAGCCGTAACCGTCCAGCCGTAACGAGGAGGCAACCAGGTGAAAGTTGCAGTAGTGGGCGCCGGTGGAGTCGGCGGCTATTTTGGCGGACTACTGGCCCGTGCCGGGCACGAAGTGACGTTCGTCGCCCGCAGTGAGCATCTGGACGCCATCCGTCGCAACGGCGGCCTGCGGGTGGAGAGCCAGAACGACGGCGAATTCCACGCGCCCGGACGCGGTGTTGGCGATACCGCAGATGCCGGAAGCCAGGATCTCGTGCTGTTCAACGTGAAGATGCACGACAACCCCGGCGCCATCGCCTCGCTGCCCCCAATGGTCAGCGCCGATACCGTGGTGCTCACCCTGCAGAACGGGATAGATAACGGCGAGCAGATCGCAGCGGTCATCGGACGCGAACCGGTGATGGTCGGATCGGCGTTCATGGAGGGGCGCATATCCGAGCCCGGAGTCGTCACTCAAGGTGGACCTGGCACCGCCGGTTTTGGGGAGATGTCAGTTGGGATCACCGAGAGGGGAGAGTTCCTTTATCGCGAGTTTGTGAATGCCGGCTGGCGTGTCGAACTAGACGAGAATATGGTGGGCATGCTTTGGAAGAAGTTTGCTTACATCGCCGGGTCCGCGGCTGTCTGCTCCGCCGCAAATTGCGTCTACGAGGAAATGCGCACTATCCCGGCGACCCGGGCTCTGATCCAGCAGGCCATCGAGGAGGCGCTGACCGTGGGCCGAGCCAGCGGTGCGCCGGTCATGGAAGACTCGCTGGAGTGGGCCATGAACTCCCTCGACCGCTTTCCTCCGCAGGGCAGGGCATCAATGGCCAAGGACTTCACCGAAGGCCGTCCAGTGGAACTTGAGGGATTGAACGGCGCCCTCATCCGGCTGGCCCGGCAGACTGGCACGCCCACGCCGGCCAACGACTTCCTTTATGCCGTCTTGCGTCCCCTGGCCGACCGCATTGCCGCACAGCAGGCCTGAACCCGAGCCCGGGCCCCCTGTTCGAACCGCCCTCCTGTTCCCTGCTGTCCTCCTGATACGGTGATATACTCTCACGCAGTTCGCGAGACACAGGTTCAGGAGGTCGCAGGTGAAGACTGTTGACGCAATTGCCGAGATTCTGAAGCGGGAAGGGGTGGAGTTCCTGCCTTGCTTCCCGACAACATCCGTCATCGAGTCCTGCGCAGAGGCGGGGATACGGCCGATCATCTGCCGCCAGGAGCGGGTGGGCCTAGGCATCGCCGACGGTTACAGCCGCACGACCAACGGCGACAAGATGGGCGTGTTCGCAATGCAGTATGGCCCAGGCGCGGAAAACGCTTACTCAGGCGCAGCCACGGCATTCTCGGACTCGACACCGATGCTGTTGCTGCCGTTGGGGCACCCCCGGGACAGGCAGGGCGTATTCCCGCTCTACAGCTCGTTGCAGAGTTATGCCTCAATCTCGAAGAGCATCGAGCAGATCAACACGGCGGACCGGACCTCGGACGTGATGCGACGGGCCTTCGCCGCCCTTAGGCAGGGACGGCCGGGGCCGGTGGCGGTGGAGATTCCTGCCGACATCGCCAATGAAGAGGTGTCGGAGGAGTCCTTCTACTATGTTCCCAGCCGCCGGGTAGCATCACAGGGCGACCCCGGTGATGTTGAGGCCGCGGCACGCGCCCTTTGCGGAGCCAGCAATCCGGTAATCCTCGCCGGTCAGGGCGTAATGTACGCCAAGGCATCTGAGGAATTGCAGGAACTGGCGGAGCTGCTGCAGGTGCCGGTCGCGACCACTCTGCTGGGCAAGAGCGCCTTCGACGAGACGCACCCTCTGGCGCTGGGTTCTGCAGCGCTGACCTCGTCATCGACATTGGTGAACTTCATGCGACGGGCTGACGTTGTCTTCGGAATAGGCACAAGCTTCACCCGCCACAACATGGTGATGACCATCCCTCCGGGCAAGACCATGATTCACTCCACCAACGACCCTCGCGACGTTAACAAGGACTACAACATCGACTTCCCCATCGTCGGCGATGCCAAGCTGGTCCTGCGCCAGATGATTGACGCCTGCCGCGATATCGTGGGAGACAGCCGCAACAACAGCAACACCGCGGCGGAGGTAGCCAGGGAGCGCGATGCCTTCATCGAGGCCTGGAAGCACAAGTTGACGGACGACTCACGACCAATGAGTCCATACCGCGTCATCTGGGACTTCATGCACACCATCCCGCCGGAAGACGCCATTGTGACCCACGACTCCGGCAGCCCGCGCGACCAGATCGTGCCGTTTTACCGTTCCAGCGGCCCGCGGACCTATATTGGCTGGGGAAAGTCTCATGGCCTTGGCACCGGCTTGGGTCTTGTGATAGGGGCAAAGCTGGCCCAGCCGGACAAAGTCTGCGTCAACTTTATGGGAGATGCAGCTTTCGGTATGGTGGGCCTCGACTTTGAGACCGCAGTTCGTTCCAACCTCCCCATCATCACCGTGGTGCTGAACAACTCCCACATGGCCGCCGAGGTCCATGCAATGGCCGACTCGCACCGCTTGTACAACACTCGCGACCTGGGCGGTAACTACGCTGACATGGGCCGGGCCATGGGTGGTTACGCGGAGAGGATTGAAGACCCCAACGAGGTGTCCGCAGCCTTCGCTAGGGCGCGCCGCGTTACTGAGCAGGAAGGCCGTGCTGTACTGCTGGAGTTCATTACCAGCATTGAGACCGAGGCCTCTCACAGGCGGCCTTTCTAGCATCGGCACTTTTCGGTGCAAAGGCACGGAACATGGTGCAGGCAACCGCATTCGGACAAATTGATGACATTTGCTGGTTGCCAAGCCTCATGGCCTCTCCGTACCATATCGATATGTATCTGCTGGTAACCACACCGTCGCTGCTCTATACCCGGCGGTCGATCAGGATTGCGAGTCGTTTGGGAACGGGCCGTGAAATTGGGACAGAATGGGACAAAATGGGGCGGGAATTGGAAATTTCGGCCAAATGGAGCATTTCGCAGCTACGAAAGGCCGTGAAAATGGGACAAAATGGGACGGCAATGGGAAATTCCTGTCCCAAAGAGGCAGCGCTTTCCCATCCGCAGCTCCGCCTCTCAAGGATAGCTGTACCCGATCCCCTATGCAGCCACGGAATGCGGCTAGCGAAATGCGATGGCCCTGTGTAGCGGTGGGCCCTCTCGCAACGTCATTAGCAAGGAGATGAAAAGAATGGCCCGGTCCAAATATTTGTTCGTCGCCAGCATGGATGTTGAGCCCGCCAAGGAGGCCCTGTTCAACGAGGTATACAACGTTGAACACTGCCCGGAATTGAGCAAAGTGCCAGGCGTTGGCCAGATCGCCCGGTACGAGGCTGATTCGTTCGAAGTGATGATTGGTGGCGAAGTACGCACCATGACTCCCGACGGGCGACCCCGCTTTCATGCGGTGTACGAGATCGAATCTCCCGATGTCCTTACATCGGCCGAATGGGGAGATGCAGTGGAGCTGGGCCGCTGGCCGGAGCAGGTGCGCCCCTACACAACTAACCGCCGCCACACCCTGCTGCGCCTGACCTACCCGGGCGAGTAGGCAGTTGTTTTCGGTGGACATTCAGGGAAATGGTTGCCATTTCGTCGAAATCTCGGAGTTGAAAGACTTTGGCCGTCGAGCGTAAATACGCAGACCACAGAACTCCAGAGGGCAGGAAAGAGATCCTTGGGGTCGCGGACCGGCTTGCCAAGGAGTGTCTGGCCCCACGGGCTGCCCACTACGATGCCACGGCCACTCATCCGGTCGATAGCTGGAGAGACGTGTGGCGTGAAGGGATGCTGGCGATGGGAATACCTCGCCGGTTCGGTGGGCTGGAGTTGGACATGCCGACGTACGTGCGGGTGATCGAGCGGCTGGCGGCTGGATGCACCAACACCGGGATGACCGTGCACATGCACTCGACCGTTACTAGGTTCATCGACGCCTTGTCTACGGAGGAAAAAAAGCCTTTTACTTCAGGGAAGTCGTGGAGGACGGAAAGCTCTTTGGTAGCTGGGGAAGCGAGCCAGAAACGCGAGGGGGAACGGCCCTGCGGTTGACCACTATTGCTCCGCAGAATGGCGGTTATGTCATTAACGGTACCAAGCATTTCTGCACCATGTCCGGCAGGGCCCACCGCTACATGATTCATTGCAGTTCGGGCCATGAGGACCCGCTGGAGTCTCAGTGGCTGGCTCTTATCCCCCACGACACCCCTGGCATTGAGCAGATCGGAGAGTGGGACACCCTGGGTATGCGCGCCACGGTGAGCCCGGCCATGCGTTTGAACAACTGCTTCGTCGGTGCGGATGCGCCCCTCGGCAGGCCAGGTGAGGCACCACGTTCCGGTATAACGCAGGGTTTTGGACTGGGCTTCGCAGCAGTCTTTCTTGGAGCAGCACAAAGGGCGCTGGACTTTACCGAGGAATTTGCCCAGACGCAGACTTTTGCGCCCGACCCGTCGCCCGTTGCTGAGAGCTTGGCCGTGCAGCGTACCGTCGCGGAAATGTCCTTGGCCCTAGAGGGGGCCAGAAGAGTCCTCCACGCGGGCGCCACGGTTTGGGACGACGCTAATCCTGCGGAGCGTGCGGTTCTGGCGGCTCGAGCAAAGTACCTGGCCACGGTGGCGTCGCTGGACGTCACAGCCAAGGCAATCCAGATTGCTGGTGGCCGCAGCGCCCACAAGAGCCTGCCGCTGGAGAGGCTGTTCCGGGACGTGCGCACGTCGACCCTGATGCCTCCCAACCTGGATCGATGCCTTGAGATTGTAGGACGGTCTGAACTGGGTCTGGACGCCTCCTTATACCGGGATGCCTAGCTGCGGAAAAGAACTGTACTCTCAAAGCCCGGAGAATTCCAAGATCTATGGCCGCTGCACTTGAGGGCGTAAGCGTCCTCGACCTCACCCACTGCATTGCAGGGCCCTACTGCACCAAGCTGTTGGCCGGTTTTGGGGCGGATGTCCTGAAGATTGAGCCGCCCGAAGGTGAGAAAGGTCGGAGGATGGCGCCGTTTTTCGGTGACGAGCCCGGGCCAGACAGCAGCCTGCCCTTCGCCTACCTGAACTCCGGCAAGCGCGGCATCACCCTCAACCTGAAGAGTACGGAAGGGCGTGACATCCTGTTCTCCCTTCTCCCCGGAAGTAGACGTGCTGGTGGAGAACTTTTCTCCCCGGGTTTTGCCATCTCTCGGCTTGGACTACGAAACGATCAGTGAAGTGGCTCCCCACCTGGTGATGGTGTCCATCTCCAACTTTGGCCAGACTGGACCGTACCGGGACTACAAGGCGGCCGATATCGTCGAGTACGCACTGGGCGGACTGATGTATATATTCGGCGCCTATGATCGCGAGCCGCTTAAACACGCCTTCAACCAGGCGCAGTTCAAGGCAGGGACTGATGCGGCATCGGCGACGTTGATGGCCGTTTACCACCAGCGCACGACTGGCGGACGCGGGTCAGGACAGGGGCAGCACGTCGACGTTTCCATACAGGAGGCAGTGGCATCGGGCCTGCGGGACGTGGTGAACAACTACACCTACACAGGCGCCATCCGACGCCGGCAGCCCAACCACAGTGGCGACCTTCAGCGGCTGCGGGCCACCGCCGACGGATTCCTGCTCCCCAATCCCGGTCTGGGAGGAGGGTTGAACTGGGACAGCTTCACAGAGTTCCTGGACCTTCCGGAGCTGGATGACGATCGGTTTCGTACCCCGTCGGCGCGGTTGGTGAATGCCGAAGAGCTGGGGCGCATCCTCGACGAGTATTTCATCCACCAGAACAAGTACGAACGCTTTTATGGTTCCCATCAGCGTCGCTTTATCTTCGGAGTTATCCAGTCGCCGGAGGAGGTCCTGGAGGATCCCCAGTTTGGCCATAGAGAGTTCTTTGCTAACGCGGATCACCCTGTGCTGGGCAAGGTCAAGTTTCCGGGTGCCCCGTTCAAAATGGAGGAAACCCCCTGGCAGTTGGGAAACTCTGCACCGACATTAGGGCAGGACAACGGTAAGATTCTGGGCGAGCGCCTTGGCCTTTCCTTAGAACAGTTGGGCGCCTTGCGCTCCCAAGGGATCATCTAAAGCGATGGCTACGTCTGCACAGGGAGGAAAACGCTCTCGGGGACCTCTGGAGGGAGTGCGCATCATCGAGATGGGGCAACTCATCGCCATCCCATTTGCGATGAAGCTTTTGGCAGACATGGGAGCGCAGGTTATTCGTCTGGAGTCGACCCGTCGCCTCGAGAGTTACCGCAGCGACTCGGTGTACCAGAACGAGATCCACGGCGAGTTCTGGAACCGGGGGGCCAACTTTTACGAGCAGAACCGGAACAAAATGGGCATAACCCTGGATCTGGGAAACTCAGATGGACTGGCTATCCTGCGCCGGCTTATCGCCGTCAGTGATGTGTTCGCGGAAAATTTCACGCCGAGGGTCATCAGGAACTTTGGCCTGGAATACGCAGACCTGCGCCGCATCAAACCCGACATCATTATGGTGTCGTCGACAGGATATGGGTTCGATGGCCCCTGGGCCAACTTCGGCGCCACGGGTCCAGCCACCGAAGGGGCATCTGGTCTGGCTTATGCCACCGGCTATGCGGGTGGCCCCCCGGTGATGGCCGAGATACCCTACGTCGACTACACGGCTGGCGAGCACACTGTGTTCGCGGTTATGACTGCCCTTATTAGTCGCCTGAGCACCGGTAGGGGTCAATTCATCGACGTGTCTCAGGCCCAGACGGCCGCAGTCACAATTCCCGAGGTACTTCTGGACTTTGCTGCCAACGGGCGTGCACCGGAACGTCTGGGAAACGCCGATCCCACCATGGCGCCACATGGCTGCTACCCATGCCGCGGAGAGGACCGATGGATCGTCATTGCCGTTGCAGGGGACGACGAATGGCAAGGGTTGTGCCGGGTACTGGGCAGGGCTGACTGGGCAGATAATCCTGTCCTGAAGGACACATTGGGCCGCTTCCAGCATCGTCACGAACTAGATCGGATGCTGGAAGAAGGAACCGCGCCGTGGGATGCCCGCGAATTGATGGAGGCGCTGCAGGCCGAAGGCGTTCCGGCAGGTGTCGTTCTGGACAGCAAAGACTTGCTTTTCGATCCGCACCTGCGAGAGCGACGCTTCCACGAGGTTGTGAGCCACCATCCGAGCACGAAAATGCCGCCCCTTCCTTACGCGGGACGCCCCTGGAAATTATCCGCCACTCCCGCCGTGCCCCCCAAGGCGGCGCCGCTGATGGGCGAGCACAACGAGTTTGTTTTCAAAGACCTTCTGGGAATGTCTGACGCGGATGTCGCAAAATTGGAGGAGGAGGGAGTGATCGGCTACGCGCCTGACGATCCCCGTCCCGTGCAACGGCCGTCGCTGGACGAGCAGGTAAGGCAGGGAAGGATGTTACGTTATGAGACCGACTTCCAGAGCAAGGTAGCCGAGGCTTACCCGTCGCCTGGCGAGTAAGTACTTCGGCAGCCTCCGTCCGGAGTGACCGTTTCAGGCTTCGGGGGAATCCAGAGGTAGCACCGACTCAGACTTGTAGCGTTTCCGGGCCAACACCAGAATACCGAACGCCCTCCAGACTTCTTCAAATTCCTCTCTGGACAGTCTTTCCAGTTCTTCCATAGTAAAAGTAAAGGTATTTGTCGGCAACGGTTGCCCTGGCTGCGCTCCCCCCAAGTCATACAATGCCGTGGCATGTGGAGGAGTTAAGCGGGCGGGTGGTGGGACAAAGTCCCTCGATCCATCCGCAGGCGCTGCAATGCTGTCGGACACCAAGATGTAGCTTCCATCGTTCGAGTGATGTAGGACCTCGGCGTACCTGGCCGAGTCTAGGAGCATGCGCTCGGCCTGCTGAACCCTGGAATGCTCTACCGAAAACTCTCGTTCAAGCACATTTCGAAGCGTCTGACTGTCCGGCAATGGGTGGCCGCTGAAGCGTTCTGACACTGCCTGGAACAGCGGAATCGAAAGAAAAGCTTCCCGCTTGCCGCGATTTTCGTCTTCCTTGCTGGTGGGCTTGAGAATGGCTTTGGCCACCGGAGTAGTGGCGAGCGTGTTGCTATGTTTGCTAATGAGCTGGAACTGCCGGGCTGCAAGGCTCTTGAGACGGAAACCGCTGCTCTTTGCCGATAGTCCCATATTTATTGCCAGCGTTTCCTCGGTCAAGGTCCCGCCGCCGCTCTCCTCGACCCGGCGAGCTATATCCAGGGGCGGTGTTGAAGTCGTAGGCGGGGAACAGATATACAGAACGCTGACGGGCTTTCCTGGCGGAGCCGGAACTCCCCTGCTCGCCGTTGGCAGTGGCGGAAGGTAGTTCAGCTTCTCCATTTGCCACTTGGGCAGGAAATTCCTGGGTAGTCATCTACTTTCCTGATTGACAGCTTGATTAAGAAATAATTATGCAATTCAGGAAATAATAGCATTTTGTTTATGTTAAGTGCAATACTCTATTTATGCGAGGAATAGGAAATAGAAAACAACCTGCTCTAAGGGTCGAAAAGATAGGCCAAGGCTACGCCTTGGCAGGACTTGGATTGAATTAGAAGGCCCCCGGAAAACGGGGGCCTTGGATGCTACCAGAGGTTTCCCGGGGTGCTAGGAGCCGCGAGAGGCCTCGAAGGCCGATATCTTGTCTTCGAATTGCATGGTCAGGCCGATGTCGTCCAACCCATTCAGCAAGTTGTGCCGGCGTGCCTGGTCAATCTCGAAGGGGATGGAAATTTCTTCATCATCATCCCAAACCCGCTGTCCCTCCAGGTCGACAGTCAGGTTTACACCAGGATTGGAAGTTGCCTTTTCCATAATGGTCCGGACGTCCTCTTCAGACATGCGCAGCGGAAGGAGCCCGTTTTTGAAACAGTTATTGTAGAAGATGTCCGCAAAGCTAGGCGCGATGATACAGCGAATTCCATAATCTCTCAGTGCCCAAGGTGCGTGCTCCCGGGATGATCCGCACCCGAAGTTGTGGCCTGCCACGATGACCTTCGCGTCCTGGTAGGCTGGCTGGTTGAGAACAAAGTCCTCCTTGGGGGTTCCGTCTTCGTTGAACCTCCAAGGGAAGAACAGACAATCCTCGAATCCGGAGCGCTCGATGCGTTTGAGGAACACTGCAGGGATAATCTGGTCGGTGTCGATGTTAACCCTGTCAATCGGCGCAACCGTGCCGGACAGTCTTACGAAGGGGTCCATGCGAGTCCTCCCTGCCACCAAATCTCTTGAAATTTAATTGCGAATCCCGGCAGAACCGGTTTGCTGGAAACCGTTTCAGAATCGTCCTGAAAATCTAATTGCATTCCCAGATTGCTTTGAGTCATTGAACTTACCGAGGGTGAATCGCCCTATCCCAGCCCCAGATATGAGCGCTTAAAGGTCCCTCACATCGACGAAGTGACCGGCGATGGCGGCAGCGGCGGCCATGGCCGGGCTGACAAGGTGAGTTCGGCCTCCCTTGCCCTGGCGTCCCTCGAAGTTGCGATTTGACGTGGCGGCGCAGCGCTGCCCCGGGGCCAGTATGTCTGGGTTCATACCCAGGCACATCGAGCATCCTGCCACGCGCCAGTCGAGCCCCGCCTCAGTGAAGATGCGGTCGAGACCCTCTTCCTCCGCCTCGAGCTTGATCTTGGCTGATCCGGGAACGACCATCGCGTAGACGTCGGGGTGCACCTTGCGGCCGCGGACCACTTCAGCAGCAGCGCGGAGGTCTTCCAGCCGGGCGTTGGTGCATGCGCCGACGAATATTCGGTTAATCTTGATGCCGTTGATCGGGGTCCCTGGCCGCAAGTCCATGTACTGCAGGGCCCGCGCGGCCGCTTCCCGCTGGCCGGCCTCCTCGAAGGAGTTGGGGTCCGGCACGTGGCCGCTTATTGGCGCCACCATTCCCGGGTTGGTACCCCAGGTTACGTACGGCTCCATCTGAGATGCGTCAAATATCTCAGTCTTGTCGAATGTGGCTCCCGGGTCGGTGGGCAGCAGCTTCCAGCGCTCGACGGCAGCGTCGAATTCGGCGCCCTGCGGAGCGAACTGCCTGCCCCGGACATACTCGAAAGTGGTTTCGTCGGGGGCGATCATTCCGGCCCTGGCACCGGCCTCGATGCTCATGTTGCAGACGGTCATGCGCCCGTCCATTGAAAGGGAGCGGATCGCCTCGCCGGTATACTCAATGACGTGGCCGGTGCCGCCGTTGACGCCAATACGACCGATAATTCCGAGAATGATGTCCTTGGCAGTGACACCGGGAGGTAGTTGTCCGTCCACGCGAACTTCCATTGTTTGCGGCTTGAACTGCCGGAGGGTCTGCGTAGCCATCACGTGCTCCACTTCGGAGGTGCCGATGCCGACGGCGAAGGCCCCCAGCGCCCCGTGGGTTGAGGTGTGGCTGTCGCCACAAACAACGGTTTTGCCGGGCTGGGTGTAGCCGAGATCGGGCCCGATTATGTGGACGATGCCCTGCAAGGGGCTGAACCGGTCATAGAGGGTTACGCCGAATTCCTCGCAGTTGCGGGACAGAGCTTCTAGTTGGGCTTGGGAAATCTCGTCTGTCACAGGCAGTGACAAGTCCCAGGTTGGCGTGTTGTGGTCGGCGGTGGCCACCGTCAGGTCGGTGCGTCGAACGGGACGACCGGCCATCCGCAGCCCGTCGAAGGCCTGGGGAGATGTCACTTCGTGGACGAGGTGCAGGTCGATATAGATTATGGATGGCTCGCCCGGCTCATCATGCACCACGTGGGGGTCCCATATCTTCTCGAACATTGTTTTTGGGGGCATCAAATCACTCCTGAATGCCAAAGTGGAGCCAGGCCTGATGGCTCCGAAAGGCCAAGATGTGCAGTGGGCTAAAGCTGCCGCGCATTATATCATTCAGCCACATTTGTACGAACAAGCAAGGTGTCCGCGGCAGCGTTCCGTTCCGGGTGTTCAAGCAACTATTTCGGCCTGGGCCTCGCCTTTGGCATTCGTCGATATACGACCCCGGATTCCCGGCTATCTGATTGGATGCGAGGTGTTGGCTGGGCGGCGCCTTACCTTGACCTGGACTTAGGCAGGGTGACGGCCCCGGATCAGTGGATGGTGAGGTCCGAAATTGGGGTTAATGCCAAAAAGGGGGTGAAATGTGTGCACTTATGTGCAGTTTCTTGGCTCCCTGGCTGGGCGTTCGGCGCCGCCCCGGCGTTCGCTAGGTCTGCGGCTCCTGTTTGGCCGTACGTGTCCCGGTGCACGGGATTCTGGCACCCGCTCTCCGTTTAGGACAGGCCTCGTGCTGGGGTGATGCATGCCGGAAATGAAGAATGGGTAATCGGGCATGGATGCACCAGGTGCGTCGGTCCCGATGTTGGAATTTCGGGCCTTCTGGTCCGCTGTAATCAATGGTAGGGGTATGTCACAAGGCTTGGCAAGCGGCTTATGTCAGGAGTTGAAAGAGGAGGTGCAGAGGGGGAGATGGTGGAGTTGATGTGCGAACTTCCAGGGTTTCTGGTCATAGGCCTCGGTTTCATATTCTGATTAAAAATGCTCCACAGGAGGATGTCTCGCGGTAGCAAGGGGTTAAGAGGTTGCAAGCCAATAAAACTGGTACGTTGTGGGTGTCCTGAGACCCCATCCACCGCTGGTTCAAATGGGCTCGGGCAGAGCCTAAATTACGAGCAGTGAGTCGGAAACGCGCCCATTCGTGTTAAACTTGCCCTAGTCGGACCGGGACGCTTGAAAGGTGATGACATCCGAGCGTTTCTGATAGTCTGTTTGCAATGGAGTCCCTGTCCAATAGCCATGTCCAATGAATAAGAGGCCTGCCTGATGCCTTCCTCCGATGCCGTTGTGCTGCCTGCCAATGTCAAGCCCAACAAATACAGGATGACGCTGCAGCCTGACCTTCAGACCTTTACCTTCAGTGGTGAGCAGACGGTCGATATCGACATTGTAGTACCTACCGCTCGCATTATTCTGAACGCTGCAGAGCTAGAGATCAGAGACGTCGTCCTCCGTCGAAATGGTCAGTCGACTCAGGTGAATTCCATATCGCTGGACGAAGAGAAAGAGACAGCGACACTGGATTTCGGGCAAACGCTTTCCCAAGGCCCGGCCCAGTTGGAGATGCAGTTCACTGGAGTCCTGAATGATCGGCTGGTCGGGTTTTACCGGTCCGAGTACCAAGACACAGAGGGTCAGACCCGGCACCTGGCAACCACGCAATTCGAGGCGACCGACGCCCGCCGCGCTTTTCCCTGCTGGGACGAGCCGGCCCAGAAGGCTGTCTTTGACGTTACTCTGGTCTTTGACGACAGTTTGCAGGCCGTCTCCAACACTCCGATTGTGAAGGAGGCCTCTCCATCTCCCGGACTGAGGTCGGTGCGCTTCGGCGAAACGCCGGTAATGTCGACCTACTTGCTAGCCTTCGTAGTCGGGGACCTGGTGTCTGTGGAATCCGAGGCAGCCAATGGCACCACAATTGGTGTCTGGACCACTCGGGGCAAGGAAAACCAGGCGGAGTTCGCCCTAGACACCTCAGTGAAGCTGCTGGGCTACTTTAACGAGTACTTCGGCATTCCATACCCGCTGCCCAAGCTGGATCACATCGCGATTCCAGACTTTGCTGCGGGCGCGATGGAGAACTGGGGCTGCATCACCTACCGCGAAACGGCACTCCTGGTCGACCCGGCAAACTCGTCTGCGGGAACCCGCCAGCGAGTTGCCGAGGTGGTTGCCCACGAAATGGCACACATGTGGTTCGGCGACCTGGTTACCATGGAATGGTGGGATGACCTCTGGCTGAACGAAAGCTTCGCGTCCTGGATGGGAACCAAATCTGTTGACTGGCTATTCCCTGAGTGGGAGATGTGGACACAGTTTGTCAACATGGACACCAACCGCGCCCTGAGCCTGGACGGGTTGAAGAACTCGCACCCCATCGAGCAGGAGGTCAAGAACCCGGCCGAGGTAAGCCAACTATTCGATGCCATAAGCTACAGCAAGGGCGGCTCAGTGCTGCGGATGCTGGAGAATTTCCTCAGCCCTGAGGTGTTCCAGGGCGGCCTGTATCGGTACCTGAAGGGACACGAATACGGCAACGCGCGCACCCAGGACCTTTGGGCTGCATTGGAAGAGGAATCAGGGCTGCCCGTTACGAGTATCATGGACTCCTGGGTCAAGCAGATGGGCTATCCGGTGCTGCAGGTGGAGGCCGACCGCCGTGCCGAGGATGTCCAGATCTCTCTCTCGCAAGAACGGTTCGTCTACGACCGCCTGCTGGGTGACGAGGAACCCAACCCCGAGGTTTGGCAGGTTCCAGTGTCGGTCAGTGCGCCGGGGACGACATCGGCGTCGATGGTCATGGAAACCAAGGACGCTGTAATCACTCTGCCGGCAGCCATCCCGAGCGAGGACTGGTACAAGGTCAACAGCGACCAAACCGGGTTCTTTCGCGTCAATTACTCAAACGAGGACTGGAAGCGACTGGCTCCGGCCATCAGCGCGTTGGCGCTTCCCGCCACCGATAGATTGGGCATCCAGAACGACGCCTACGCATTGTCCCGTGGCGGCCTGTTGCCCATCACGCAATTCCTTGAACTCGCGGGAGCGTACGCCGGTGAGACAGATGCGTCTGTCTGGAGCGACCTCGCATCGAACCTGCGGGACATCGAGCAGATGATTGCAGGAGAACCGGTGCATCCCGCCTACCAGCGTTTCGGACGCGAACTGTTCGGCCCGGCAGCCCGCCGCGCCGGATGGACGCCGCGTCCCCAAGACGGGCACCTGGACTCTCTGCTTCGCTCGACCGTGCTCGGCCAAGCAGGAAGTTACAACGACCAAGAGACGCTTGCCCAAGCCTCGGACCTGTTCCGACAATACCTGGAAAACCCTGAGGCGGTCCACCCCGACCTGCGAGGCATCGTATTCTCCCTTGCAGCACAGGCGGGGGACCGCGCTACGTACGACCAACTCTGGGAGCTAGAGGAACGCACCAGGCTGCAGGAGGAAAAGATCCGACTGCTGCTGGCAATGTCCCGCTTCCAGGATGTGGGTTTGTTGAACGATACGCTGGAGAGTTCACTTTCATCCAGGGTCCGATCCCAGGACACCATCACGGTGGTGGCGAGTGTGGCGGCAAATCCCAAGGGAAGGCAACCAGCGTGGGATTTCGTCAAGAACAACTGGGCCGAGTTTGACCGGCGCTACGGAGGTGGGGGATTCGGCCTCATGCGGCTGGTCTCCATCTGCAACAGCTTCACCACGGACGAGCAGCGGGCCGATGTGGAGAATTTCTTCGCCGAGAATCCCGCTCCTGCCGCTGAGCGCACTATCCGGCAAGCGCTGGAGCGGATGCGGCTGAACATACGCTGGCTGGAGCAAAACGGCCCGGCCCTTAACGCGTGGTTCGGAGTCTAGAGCTTAAGCACCTCAGAACAGCAAAACAATTGGCAGGCTCAACTGATGGGAGGTTGTGGAGTGTGAAGGAGAGGCTCAGATTGAGCGGGGATACTTCCCTATGGTGTGGTTTACTTATTTATGGATTCACACGAACGTATCTCTGTCCTAAAATCCGCCCTGCGCGAGCGTATCCTGGTGATCGACGGCGCAATGGGCACGGCAATTCAGTCTTTCGATCTCGGTCCCGATGACTTTGGCGGCATCGAATACGAAGGATGCAACGAACACCTGGTACTCACCCGCCCCGACGTCATAGAAGCCATACATCGAGGCCACCTTGACGCCGGCGCAGACATCATCGAGACCAACACCTTCGGCTCCACCGCCATCGTGCTCGCAGAGTACGACCTGTCCCATGAGGCCCGGCGTCTGAACCGCGTTGCGGCGGAAATTGCCCGGCGTATGGCCGGAGCTACCTCAACTCCCGACAAGCCCCGATTCGTGGCCGGCTCGATGGGCCCTACTACCAAGACAATTTCCGTCACCGGCGGTGTCACATTTGAGGAGCTAGCCGATAGCTACCACACTCAGGCCGCTGGGCTGATGGAGGGCGGAGTTGACGTGCTCCTGTTGGAGACGGGGCAGGACACGCTGAACATCAAGGCGGGGCTGGACGGCATTGACCGCGCCTTTGCAGAATTGGGGCAAGAGGTGCCGGTCGCGGTGCAGGGCACCGTGGAACCCATGGGCACATTGCTGGCTGGGCAGGACGTGGAATCGCTTTATGTCTCGCTGTCCCACCGGGACCTGCTGTGGATCGGCATCAACTGCGCCACCGGTCCGGCATTCATGACCGACCACATCCGCACTCTCGCTTCCGTTTCCCGCTTCCCCGTAGCCTGTGTGCCCAATGCCGGGATGCCCGACGAGGACGGCAAGTACAATGAGTCTCCTGAGGCCATGGCCGATACTCTGGGCCGCTTCGTGGACTCTGGCTGGGTGAACCTGGTCGGTGGTTGCTGTGGCACTGTCAATGGCCACATCCACCTGCTGGCCGAAACCGCTGCAGGCAAAACGCCGCGTCAGCCTGTCGAGTCCCACGAGACCCGTGTTTCCGGGATCGACGCCCTGCTGGTCGACGACCAACTCCGCCCGGCAGTCGTCGGGGAGCGCACCAATGTGCTGGGGAGCCGCCGCTTCCGCCGCCTGATCAACGAAGGCAAGTTCGAAGAGGCCGCCGAGATCGGCCGCCGTCAAGCCAGAAACGGTGCACACATCCTTGATGTCTGCCTGCAGGACCCGGACCGAGACGAGGCTGCCGACGTCACTGAGTTTCTTGACCTAGTGACCAAGAAGGTCAAGACCCCCATAATGATCGATTCCACCGATCCGGCGGTCATAGAGCTTTCGCTGAAGCGGCTGCAAGGCAAGGCCATTATCAACTCGGTCAACCTGGAGGATGGGGAAGAACGCTTCCAGGCGGTTGTGCCGCTGGCCCGCCGCTATGGCGCTGCTCTAGTCGTGGGCTGCATTGACGACGACAAGGAGCAGGCCCAGGCCGTAACCCGAGAGAGGAAAGTGGAAGTGGCGCTGCGTTCGGCCAAGTTGCTGACCGAGAAATATGGGGTTCCCGAAGAGGACCTGATCTTCGATCCTCTGGTGTTCCCGGTTGGTACCGGAGACGTGAATTACATAGGTTCGGGCGCCGAGACTGTGGAGGGCGTGCGGCTGATCAAGGAGGCTTTGCCTCGCTGCAAGACCATTCTTGGCATCTCCAACGTTTCCTTCGGTTTGCCCGTCGCCGGACGAGAGGTACTGAATTCGGTGTTCCTGTATCACTGTGTGCAGGCTGGACTGGACATGGCCATCGTGAACTCCGAGTTGATGATGCGCTATGCCAGCATTCCCGAGGGGGAACGCAAACTCGCCGAAAACCTTATCTGGTACCAGGGGGACGACCCAGTGGCGGACTTTGCGGCCCACTTCCGGGAGAAAGCGCCTTTCGGCCACCAACGAGGAACGCCGGCTCCTGCCGCTGGACGAGCGGTTGGCGCTGGCAATCATCGAGGGAACCAAGGAAGGGCTGGCTGAGGACTTGGACGAGGCGCTGCAGGACAGAACGCCGCTGGAGATCATCAACGGCCCCTTGATGGACGGCATGTCCGAGGTCGGCCGCCAGTTCAACGCCAACCAGCTGATAGTCGCTGAGGTGCTGCAATCGGCGGAGTCGATGAAGTTCTCAGTCACCCGCCTCGAGCCCTACATGGAACGTAAAGAGAGCTCCATCAAGGGCCGGGTGGTGCTGGCTACCGTCAAGGGGGACGTTCACGACATCGGCAAAAACCTCGTGGAGATCATCTTGTCCAACAACGGTTACGAGGTGATCAATCTCGGTATCAAAGTGCCGCCGCAGGACCTTATCGAGGCATACCGCGAGCACAACCCGGACATCATCGGCCTGTCCGGCCTTTTGGTGAAGTCGGCTCAGATGATGGTGGAGACCGCCCGGGATTTCCGGACTGACGGCGTTTCCGTCCCGCTGTTGGTGGGTGGCGCGGCGCTGTCCAACCGGTTCACCCGACTGCGCATCGCCCCTGAATACGGCGGGCTGGTGGCCTACGCGCCTGACGCAATGACCGGTCTGGCCTTGGCCAACACCATCCAGGAGGCCGACGAGCGGGCCCGTCTGGCGTCGCAGCTGGAGGCTGAAACCGAGGCGATGCTGGACGACGACGTGCGGCGCGCTTCCGATGATGGCGGGGTGGACGTGCCGCCGGCCAAGGTGCGCCACGACTTCCCAATCCCCAACCCGCCCGACCTGCGTCTCCATGTGCTGACTGACTATAACCTGAGGATATCTTCGGATACATCAACCCCCAGATGCTTTACGTGCGGCACCTGGGATACAAAGGCCGATTCTCCGAAGATCTGGCTGCCGGAGAGCAGGTCGCAATCGACCTTCGTGATTCGGTGCGCCGTGTCGAGGACATGATGCTGGCGCGCGGCGACATCACCGCCAACGCGGTTTTCAAGTTTTTTCCCTGCCGTTCGGACGGCCAGTGGCTGCTGGTCTATTCACCGGACGGCTCCCGCGTGCTGGAGCGGTTCTTCTTTGGCCGTCAATCGCAGCGCGACGGGCTCTGCTTGTCAGATTATGCGTTGCCGGTAGCAGACGCTCCGGGCAGCGGTCTGGATGACATGGACTACGTGGGCATGTTCGTGACCTCGGTGGGGCCCGGCGTTCGAGATCTGGCGGCGCAGTGGATATCCGAAGGCAAGTTCCTCGACTCCCACATTTTACAGGCGCTGGCCCTGGAGAGTGCCGAGGGCTTCGCCGAGCTACTGCACCAGCAGCTGCGCCAGATGTGGGGTCTCGGAGACCCGGCAGGAACCACTCCCTACGACCTGTTCCGCACCCAGTTTCGAGGAATGCGTTACTCGTTCGGTTACCCGGCGTGTCCGCGGCTGGAGGACCAGGAGCAGCTCTTCCGCCTGCTGGAGGTCTCGAACCACCTGGACGTGGAGCTGACGGAAGGATACATGATGGACCCGGAGTCCTCTGTCTCTGCCCTGGTGTTGCACCATCCGGACGCCAAGTACTTCAATCTCAGCGAGAAGGACATCAACCGTCTGGAATCAGAGTTGGGTGGCTGATACCTGCCCCGGCCCGGTTCCCTGGCTAGATTCACATTTCAGGCCGCGGCGGAAGCGCGCGCTGCAGACCCGGAGGCAATGTGCAGACCATTTCCAAAATCGCCGACGCCCTCGGATTCAAGTCAGAACATGTGCTGCCTTATGGCCATTACAAGGCCAAGATATCTCTGGATGCCATTGAGGAAGGCAGCGCCAGCCAGGGCAAGCTGGTTGTTGTTACGGGAATCACGCCCACGCCAGCCGGCGAAGGCAAGACCACCACCGCCATTGGGCTGACACAGGGGATGGGACGTCTTGGCCACAAGGTCTCGGTCAACCTGCGGGAGCCGACATTGGGCCCAATCTTCGGCATCAAGGGCGGCGGCACCGGCGGCGGTAACGCGCGCATTGTCCCCGAGGACGAGATCAACATCCACTTCACCGGCGACGCCCATGCCGTTGCCTCGGCCCACAACCTGCTGGCCGCCTTGGTGGACAACGCGGTGTTCCGCAACGCCATCCCAGACTTCGACCCCTCGGGCATTCAGTGGTCGAGGGTGACTGACGCCTCCGACCGGGGCCTGCGTCAGGTGATCGCGGGCGTTGGAGGCAGCGGATACGGGCCATTGCGGGAGGCGAGGTTCGACATTGTCTCCGCCTCCGAGATCATGGCCATCCTCGCTCTCGCCGACGGCCCCGACGACCTGCGGGAGCGGATATCGCGCATCGTGGTGGGCGCCACCCGCGGGGGCGAGTCGGTAACCGTCGAGCAGCTGGGGGTACAGGGCGCGCTCATGACGCTGTTGCACCAGACTGTGATGCCCAACCTGGTTCAGACGCTGGAGGGCCAGCCGGCCATCGTCCACGCTGGTCCCTTCGGAAACATCGCCCACGGCTGCAGCTCCATTCTGGCCGACAAGCTGGCACTGGGTTACGCTGACTATGTGATCACCGAGGCAGGGTTCGCCTCCGACCTTGGGTTTGAGAAATTCATGCATATCAAGACCCGGCAGAGCGGGCTGCTGCCCAAAGCCGCGGTATTGGTGGCCTCGGCCCGTGCGCTCAAATGGCACGGCAGGATGCCCCCGTCGTGATCTGGACAAGCCAGACGTGGACAGGGTGAACCGTGGCGGGCCGAACCTCGCTCACCACGTTGGCATCGTGGCCAGCTTCGGACTGCCCTGCGTGGTCGCCATCAACCGGTTTGGCTCAGACAGCCCCGAGGAGCTGGCGGCGGTCAGGGACATCGCACTGGAGGCCGGAGCCACGGCTGCCGTCGAGTGTGACGGCTACGCGCAAGGCGGCGCGGGTGCCGAGGAACTGGCCCAGGCTGTGGTGGACGCGACCCGGGCCGAAAGCAACATCACCTACGCATACCCTCTCGAGGCCACGGCGCAAGAGAAAGCCCTGGCTCTGGCTCAGAAGGTGTACGGCGCGGCGGACGTAGCGTGGTCGACGCAGGCCACTAACCAGCTTAGGTACTTCGAGTCGCAGGGCTGGGGCAGCCTGCCCATCTGTATGGCCAAGACTCACCTGTCAATTTCCCACGATCCGAGCCTTCGCAACCGGCCCCAGGGATACACCTTTCCGATCAACGACCTGCGGGCATCAGTGGGCGCAGGATTCCTTTACGCGCTGGCGGGACGCATCGAGACGCTGCCCGGCCTGCCCTCGCGTCCACGGGCTCTGGACATGGATGTCAACGCCGATGGGGAAGTGATAGGGATCCTGAACTAGCTGATGCGGAGTGCTGACATGCGTGTCGTCATGATCCACGCGATAGCCGAAATCCATACCGCCGGTTCGGCTGGCATTCATGGAAGAATTCCCCGAGGCAGAGCTAATCAACCTGCTGGATGAGGGGCTCCTGGTCGACTTTACGGGTAGTCTCACCCCCAGCCTGCGACGGCGCATGAGCGGCCTGATCTGTTACTGCCAGGACCATAGTGCCGATGCGATTGGGTTGGCCTGCTCGGTTTACGCCCCTGTGGTGGACTCCGCACGGGACCTCGTTGACGTTCCGCTTGTGTCCTCGTACGGCCCAGTGATGGCCGAGGCAGTCGCGGCCGGCTCGCGCGTGGCTGTGATCGCCACCAACGAGGCCACGATGTCCGATTCGGAGTATTACCTGGAGAAGGCCGCAAGACAGTCCGGGAAGAATATTCAGGTCAAGAAACGTCTGGCCGCAGACCTGATACAGGTGCTGAGAGAGAAGGGCCATCAGGCCTTCGAGCACCGGTTGGAGCAGGAGACTCTCGCACTTTCCACGGAGACCGACGTGGTATTGCTGACCAGTTCTCCTTCGCCACCGCTTTGGAACACCTGCGCAAGGTCTCTCCCGTGCCCGTGCTCTCGGCTCCCCATAGCAGCGCACGGGCACTGAAAAAATTACTGGAGGCGTAGACATGGCCAAATCGCCTGAACTGGAACAGGTAATCACGCTGGTAAAGACAAGGGAAGTCGATGAGTCGCAGGGAGCTACGGAAGGCGGGCGCCGCTCCTTTGAGCAAATGGTCGACGGGTTCACCATCGACGTTGCGGCCAGGTACAGCCGCGTTAACGCCGGTGGCGTCACGGCGGAATGGGTAGCGGCCGACGGCGCATCGGACAGCATGGTTGTCCTGTACTTTCACGGCGGCGGCTACATTATCGGATCGCCCAGGACCCACCGACCAATGCTGGCGCACCTGTCCAGGGATTCCGGGGCCAGGGTGCTGTCGCTGGACTATCGCCTCGCACCTGAGCACCCATTCCCTGCGCCCGTGGAGGACGCTGTGGCCTCCTACCGCTGGCTTCTGAGCGAGGGCTACGACCCGTCCAGGATTGCCCTTGCCGGGGATTCCGCCGGCGGCGGCCTTACAGTGGCGGCGCTGGTGCAGATTCGCTATCTAGGGCTACCGGTACCTGCCGCGGGAGTCTGCGTGTCCCCGTGGGTGGATATGGAGGGACTGGGTGAGTCCATGGAGACCAGGGCCGAGGCGGATCCCATGATCGTGAGGGAGGGATTGCTCCTGTCCGCCAAGACTTACCTTGGTGGCGCCGATCCGCGGGCGCCACTGGCCGCGCCGCTGTACGCCGACCTGCGTGGGTTGCCGCCGTTGTTGATCCAGGTGGGTGACGCGGAGGTGTTGCTGGACGACTCCACGCGCCTTGCCGGAGTCGCGCGCGAGGCCGGAGTGAAGGTGCAGATGGATGTCTGGGACGACATGATCCATGTCTGGCCCCTGTTTGCCCCCATATTGCCGGAGGGTAAGCAGGCCATTGCCCAGGCTGGCGAATTCATTAAGAAGCATACCGGAGGCTGAACATGATCTACGATTTCAGGATGTATACCCTAAAACCCGGAGCCACGCCCGACTATCGGGCCGGCGTCAAAGAGGTGGGCTTGCCCATTCGTCAGAACCACGACGTTGTCCTGTCAGGCTGGTACTGGAGCGACATTGGCACTCTGAACCAGGTGGTTCACATCTGGGGCTACAAGGACCTGGAGCACCTGAACTCGCAGAAAGCCGCGGTGTACGGGGACCCCCGATTGGGCCGGCAAGTACGTCCCCCGGGCACAGCCGCTGGTCGAGTCGCAGAAGACCTGGCTGATGATGTCTCCCGCCTTTGCGCCCACGTATCCCGTTAGGGGCCCCATTGCCGAGGAGGGCACTCCGGAGTACAAGCATAAGAACGACATGGTCTTCGACTTCCGGCAGTACACCCTGAACCCCGGTGGGCTGCCCACCTACATGTCGGCGGTGGAGGAACTGGCCCTGCCCATACGCGAGCGGCATGGCGTTAAGCTGGCCGGATGGTTCTACAGCGATCTGGGCGACCTCAACCAGGTGGTGCATATCTGGGCCTTCGACAATGTGAAGCACCCTGGGGGAGGCCAAGGCAGCGGTGGCCGCTGACCCCGAATGGGGCGGCGCCTATATCCCCCGCGTCCGGGGCGTCATATCGGCCCAGAACACTTACCTGATGAAGACGACGGAGTTCGGCCCTACCCCTTAATCCCGGACGGGCGATTCGGCAACCATTTCACGGAGTAAAGGGCGGCGAGGTGTACTGAAGCGACACCCGCCGCTCTTTTTCGTTCAGCCCTGCTGGGGATGAGTGAGTCCGACGAAGTCGCCGTCGGGGTCGGTGAAACCTACGATGGACAGCTTGCTGTTGTTGACCTCCATTGCTTCAATCGCCTGTTACTTTCCTAGTTGTGGCAGCCGCGGGCCTGGATGTCCCAGACGGCCTCGACTTTGCCGTTGCGCAGGCCTACGAAGCGGTCCCAGCGGCTGACCATGGCGTCCTGTTGGCTGGGTATCAGCAGTAGCTGGTCGCCCACCTGCAGCGAGGCGCCACCGGTTACGTTGAAAACTGCGTGGTCGCCGTCCATTGACACCAGTTCCACGCCGGGCCGACCGTCGACCTCGGGCAGTCCGCGCAGCGTACTCACGGCGCGGGAGCCGGCATCCCCGATCGCCACGCCCGGACGGGGTGTGCTGATGATGGTGGTAAGCACCTTGGCGGCGAAGCTGAACTCGGTCATGTAGCTGTAGTGGGTTTCCATCAGCAGATAGCTGCCGCCCTGAACCTCGGTGACGCCGTCGATCTCCCCGGCAACGTCGTAGCTCCAGGTCTCTCCCGTGGAGACGATATCAACGGGCAGGCCGGATCCGACGATGGCGTCCTTTAGGTCGATGACGCCCTTGATCACCCGGTTGCCCTCGGTGACCCGGTCCTCGCGGTCGGGCATGGCAGGGATGACCTGGTGGCTCATAATGCCCCGGAAGCTGATGCCAGGCAGCGAATCGATCTCGTGGGCCAGCGACACGCCCTGCTGCATTTCCTGAACGCCGCAGCGCTTCATTCCGGTCTCGAGCTCGATGACCACTCCGAGGTCGACGCCCTGGGCCGCCGCCTCCTGCGACAGAGCGCGGGCGTTCTCGGGAGTGTCGCAAGCGACCATCACCTCCGCCTGTCCAGCCAGCGAGCAGAGTCGACTGATCTTCAGGTCGCCCACCACCTCGCTGGTGATGAAGACGCTGGGGATGCCGCCGTGCACCATGACCTCGGCCTCGGCGACCTTGGCGGCGCAGACGCCGCCGATGGTGCCGCCGCGACGTATCTGCCGCAGCGCGATGGCCGGGGTCTTGTGATTCTTGCTGTGGCCCCGCAACTTGCTGGGGCGGTCCTGGTAGTAGTCCGCGATGACGTCCATGTTATGGTCGAGGGCTTCAAGGTCAATCACGAGGCAGGGGGTGTCCAGATCTTCCATTGGGGTGCCTGGCAGGGGCGTCTGGCTGTCGATCATCTTGTCGCTCCGTTTTGTTGTCGAACCCTAGAAGGAGGGGCAAGGGCATAGAAGGCTGGTCGGCTGCAGAATCGCTGCTATGCGAACCGGCCTCGGGCGGGGAGTGGCCAGTAGCCCTCCAGCTTACCGTTTCGCACCGCACGTATGTAATCGTACTGGTTGACGGTGGCCGCGAGTTCCCACGGGGCCAGTCGTGCCTTTTCGCCGGGTGAAAGGGCGCTCTCCGCGCCGCTCTCCAGTTCCACGACGCCGTGCTCGGCGCTGAAGCGAGCCGCGGTGGCCCCCGCGATGCCCTGCAGGACCGGGCGGCCATGGTCCGGGCCGGTGGCCTTGTGTCCCGAGTCCAGTACCGCCAAGTCAGGCATAGGGTGGCTGATGACGGTGGCCAGGACCACCGCAGCCAGAGACAGCTCGGGCAGGTGGTCCTGCAGGCGAACGTCCATAAGCGGATAGCGTCCGGCGCGAACCTCCGTGATACCTGGAAGGTCGGCCACGGCGGTGTAGCAGTGGGCTCCACCCACGCTCACTTCAGGAACGGAGAGTCCGGCGCTCTCCATAAGGTCCTTTGAGTCGATGGCGACCTGCAATCGTTCGCGGGTCTGCTGGGCGTGGGCCTCCGGGTCTGCTCCCGTGGGGCCGGGTACCGTTGCCATGATGCCCTGGAACCGCAAACCGTCGGCATCCGCCACGGCGCGAGCCAATGCGACCGCCTCGGCGTCTGGCGAGACGCCGCACCGGCCCATTCCCGCCTCAATTTCAACGAGTACGCCGAGCTCGACGCCGGCGGAACTCGCGGTGGCTGAGAGCCGGGCAACGTTGGCGGCATTGTCCACCGCGACTCCGATGGTGGCCTGGGAGGCGAGGGCACAGAGGCGCCGGATTTTTGACGCTGTGACAACCTGGTTGGCCACAAGGATGTCATCGAATCCCGCTGCGGCGAATGTCTCAGCTTCACCGAGGGTGGTGGCCGCGATGCCCCGGCAGGCGGGGGCGGCCAACTGCCGCCGGGCCACCTGTGGAGACAGGTGGCTGGTAACCACCGGGCGCACCGTGACAGAAGTACCAGCGAAATAGCCGTGATAGGACTGTATGTTTCGCTCCATCAAATCCAGATCGACGACCAGCGCCGGGGTGTCCAGATTCTCCACGGGCGTGCCGACCGGCTGAAAAATGGGGCGTTCCATTGATTATTCACTCCGAGCCTTTGATTGCTGGCAGAATACCACAAAGGCGGGGGTTGGCAGGGCTAAGGCGTTCGACCGGCGAGGTCCAATGTCTGCACGGGAATCGAGTGGAGCTATTCGACAGGGGCAGGCCTGTGGGGGCATCGGAGGTCTGAGCAGGAAGAATGGGACTAGATTTTCCCATCGGAGTCCCATTTTGTCCCACATTGTCCCATTTTCGGGTCTGGCCGTAGCTGTGATTTCTCAAATCAGGTGAAAAATTGCTATTCCCGTCCCATTTTGTCCCACTCTGTCCCATTGCTCCTTTTCCCTCCGTTCGGGCTGTTTTTTTTCGTGCAGCAGCCGGCTCCGCCAAGGCCTATTCCGGCCCAGAGTGGGCGGGTATTTCCAGAACTCAATGGAAACACATGATCGTATTGTACGGTAATTGCCCCAGGCTGGCAAGCGGCAATCGTCATCAGACAGCAAAGGTGCAGCGGTGGTCGGCGGCACGGTTGCAATCGGTTGTGGCGGGTGCAACAATTTCGGCTATGACAGGATTGCTGGAAGGGGTCAAGGTCTTGGACCTGACCCACTATATTGCCGGACCGTATTGCACTCGCCTGATGGCGGGACTGGGTGCCGACGTTGTGAAGGTGGAGCGACCTCAGGGCGGAGATCCGGTCCGGAGATTCGGCCCATTCGCCTCACATCCCCATTCGAATCGCGAGTACGACGAATCCAATCCGGCCGAAGACGGGGCGTGGCACCTGTACCTCAACGCTGGCAAGCGCAGCCTGGCGTTGGATCTCAAGTCGGAACAGGGGCGACAGTTGGCCCTGGAAATGTCC